TGTCAGTCTCTGGCTAAATACAACATGGATTATCTCATTTACCTGTGTAACAAACCTGCACCTCCTGCCCATGTATCCCTGAACTTAGGATAAAAGTTGGGAAAAAAACTTTAATACTTAAATACTTTAATACTTAATCCTACGAGGTAAACACTCTTTTTATCTCCACTTCAGAGTTTAAAATCTGAGACTCAGGTTAAGTAATGTGCGCAAGGTCAGATAGTAAGTTGGAGCTATATGTGGTGATCCATACTCAGAGTCCCAGCTACTTGGGAGGATGAGGCAGGAGGATTACTTGAAGCCAGGGGTTCCAGCTTCAGTAAACTATGATGGTGACACTGTCCTCCAGCCTGGGTGATAGAGCAAGACATTGTTTCTAAATAATTAATTAATGCCATACAGTAAATAATGGTACTAGGTTTTGAATCTGAGAGTGACCAATGCCAAATTGTTTTATGATTGTGAGGTGATATTACCACTGTAAATTATTTTCCTTTCCCTTTTATCAAAGACCTTATTCCATTTATCAAAGAGACAGAGATTTATTTTTATTTTAAGGGATTGGGCCACATGATTGTAGGGGCTGGCAAGTCTGAAATCTGTAGGCAAACTGGAAAATCCAACGGGAATTGATGTTACTGTCTTGAATTCTAAGGCAATTTGGTGACAGAATTCCTTGCTCTTTTCATTTGCCACCTCAGTCTTCCCTTAAGGCCTTCAAATGATTGAATGACATCTACTGACATTACGGTAGGTAATTTTCTTTACTTAAATTCTACTGATTTCAGTGTGAATCATATCTGAAAACACCTTCACAGCAATATCTAGACTGGTGTTTGACAAAACAACTGGGTACTGTGGCCTAGTCAAGGAGACACATAAAATTAACCATCACACTATTGATTTTTTAAAAATTATAGGAGGTCATTGTTTTGGACTAAGCTCTTGAGCTAGGCTCCAACAAACCAGAATAAAAATAAAAATGGAGACACCCATGCTAAAGTTCCAAGTTACCAACCCTAACCAAACTGTTATGTGACCTGAGAAATCAGAAGAGAAAGAGAGCCAGTTTCCCAAACAGGCCACTATAAATCTTCAATCAGCATGATAAGGAAGTCTCTCTGCTTTAATTCTAACACACACACACACACACACACACACACGCACACGCATGCACACACGCGTAGCCTGAAGTAACCTAATATTAACTAGCCAGTTATTGTCTGTTGTTCTGTCTAATACACTACTTGTTCTTTTCTTCTGCTTTCTTCAGGCCTTCTCTGTCTATAAAGCCAAATTCTTCAGCTCAGCTCATTAGAACATTAATTTCACGGAATGAAGAATTGCTTGGTTCTAGAATCACAAATAAAGTCAACTGAGATCTTACATTTGTTTTAATTTTGTTTTTTTGACACAATATAACATGCATAGTCATAGAAATGTAGGTATGTTAGTTCCCATAGTCCAATTTCCTTTTTTTGTTTATTTTTTGAGACAGGGTCTCGCTTTGTCACCCAGACAGGAGTGCAGTGGTGAGATCTCGACTCATGCCTCAGCCTCCCAAGTAACTAGGTTTACAGGTGTGCACCACTCTACCCAGTTAATTTTTGCATTTTCAGTAGAGATGGGGTTTTACCATATTGGCCAGGCTGATCTTGAACTCCTGACCTCAGGTGATCCACCCACCTTGGCCTCCAAAAGTGCTGGGATTATAGGCATGAGCCACCGCGCCTGGCCTCCTTTTTTAAAATGAGGAAATGGATGAAAAAGAAGTACCCAGGTTATACATGTGTTCAAAGGAATATGTATACATCCAAATTCCCAGAACCCTCTGTAAATTGCTTATGACCTAATAAAATTAAGTGAAAAAATTAAATCCTTCCAAAACACCATGTATTCTTATTTTGTAGAATTGACTGGAAAAATTCAGCAAGCGGTCAGATCATTTTACTACTTCTCTCCAGACTAATTCTCCCTAAAACCTGGATGTTGGGACTACCTTCAGAGCAAATGAGGAGTCTGGAAATAGCTGACACAGCTCTCCCAGAAAGCTAACTCTTCTCTCAGGTCCTCTCCTGCCCATCCTTCTCCAGCCAGCCTCTCCAGTTTCACCTTTCACTTCTCAGGTTTCTTTGTCTCCAGCTACGTTCTTTCCATTCCTCCTCTTTTGCCTCTGAGCTCTTCCCTTCCCTGTCTGAAACATTCTGGCACTACCACCCCCAGCCTCCACTCACCTTCTGCCTTGCAATGGCTGATTCATTCTTCAAGTCTCGACTCTTAGATCTCTTCCTCAGGATGCTTCCCATGTCCACTCAGTGAGGTTGGAGGTCCTTCATGGTGCCCCTATGACAGGCTGCACCCCTGCTCTTTCTATCTGCTTATTTATTTACATTCCCAACTAGTGTCTTAAGAGCAGAGACATTGGCCTGTTCCATGGTATCCTCAGCACTAGAGTCTGTCACATAATAAACATTCAAATAATTAAGGGGTGGGGGGCAGGAGAGGAAGGAAGAAAAGAAGGAATAAAGAAGAAAGGAATTTCCACAGGCCCTTTTTTGCACTGCGTGGCTTAGATCTCACCATTGGAAAACAATCTGTGATGGCATTTGCCTAGATAATTGTCCAGTGTAGAGTAATTTTGGTCTTTCCAAATGCTGGGGAATCTCTACCTAATGACCTGGCAACCTTAGAATTTGCTTCAACAAGTTCAAGAATGTTGATAACACTGAGGAGTTATAGGTATAAGGTAACAAATGGTAGCAACAGGAATGGAGAGGGACCAAGAAGAGGAGTATTCAGAGGTCAATTAGTCTGCATGCGTTTGGGAGGTGAAGAAGCATGCAAGATGGGGAAGATGGGAGAATCTGGTTTCCCATACAAGACAATATCATCAACTCAACTCCATATTGAATTTGAAGTGTTATGAAAACACTCAAAATTAAGCTGAAAATATAAAGAAAAGCCAAGAAAACTGTAGCCCTTCACAAATTTGTCATCTTTATGTCAGTTATGAAAAAAGTGTCAAGACTGGCCATAGGCAGACCAGGTATTGCCCACATGGAGTATTTTATGGGTCCTCAAAAAGATTTTCTTCCGTTTATTGCCCATTATCATGTCAAGGTGGTATTTGCATATATCATCAAATATATGTTGTATGCACATATATCTCTAGAAGGAAAAATAAACAGTAGCAGTGGTAACCTCTGAAAAGAGGGGCTTGAAAGCTTGGTGGTCAGGGGTGGGAAGGAAACCTAATTTCTACCATTTATCCTTTGGTACCCACTGAAATCTTTATCATATACATAGATTTTTTAATCTACAAAAGGAAAATTTCCTTTTAGGTTGTTTTTTGTTTTGTTTTGTTTTGTTTTGAGACAGAGTCTTGCTCTGTCACTTAGGCTGGAGTGCAGTGATACAATCTCAGCTCACTGCAACTTCTGCCTCCTGGGTTCAGACTATGCTCTAGCCTCACCCTCTCAAGTAGCTGGGATTACAGGCACACACCACCTTGCCTAGCTAATTTTTGTACTTTTAGTAGAGATGGGGTTTCACCATGTTGACCAGGATAGTCTCGATCTCTTCACCTCGTGATCCGCCTGCCTCAGCCTCCCAAATTGCTGGGATTACAGATGTAAGCCACTGTGCCCGGCCTCCTTTTAGTTTTAAAAGTTAAAATTTGTCAACAGCAGGTTAATTATAGTACATCTATTAAGTGAAATAATGTACAGTCATTACAATGAAAGTGATAGCTCTAGATGTACTGATATAAAAGCTGTCTGTGATGATTGATTTGTTGTTGTTGTTGTTGTTGTTGTTGTTTTTGAGACAGAGTCTCACTCTGTCACCTGGCACCAGGCTGGAGTGCAGTGACACAATCTGGGCTCACTGCAACCTCCACCTTCTGGGTTCAAGCAATTCTCCTGCTCCAGCCTCCCAAGTAGCTGGGACTACAGGTGCATGCCACCATGCCCAGATAATTTTTGCATTTTTAGTAGAGACAGGGTTTCACCATGTTGGCCAGGATGGTGTCGATCACTTGACCTCATGATCCACTCACCTCGGCCTCCCAAAGTGCTGGGATTACAGGCGTGAGCCACCTGCCGATGTTGAGTAAAAAACAAAATTCAAATTGTAAATAGTCAAAGGCACCCATTTAAAATATGTATTAGTATGTGCATAGGGTAAATTGTATTTAAGTATTTATTAGTGTATGCATAGGAGAAAATGTCAAAATATACACTAAACTTTTAGCATTGATTACCTCTGCAAGATGGAATTAGAGGAGACTTTTGCTTTCTAAGTTTTACATTTTGACATTGTTAGAACTTTTATGAGGAATATATTACTCTATAATCAGAAAAAATGATAACCTAAAACAATTCTATAGTATTACAAATAGTCCAAGAACAAAGGGAAGGTCCTTATCTTTAGCAACCGGGGCATATGTAAAACCCCCTAGATGAAAACCAGGTTTGCACTTGGACTTTGTGCATTAGGGCAGGGAGAGGTGGTATAATATGGTCTTGGCTCACAACAGCACCTCAGTAATGTTTAATAATCGAGACTGAGACTATAGAATAGATACCCCTTTTTCCCCAGTGCATGACAATTTAGGTATTTATTGCCAGGATGTTAAAAAAAATAGGGTTTCCGCCCTTACGGTCATCACAATCTAAGGTGATTTAACATCTCTGCTTTCCCCTCTTTGCTGCTTCTCAACTATCCATTTTTTCCCTTTACCTTCACCCTCGTCTTCCCAGCCCTTTAAAAAATTGCCACAAGAGGGCAGCAACCTCATGCATAAGAAGGGCACTCGACATGGGTAACTATAAAAAGCAAAAAGATGCCATTATAAAAAGGTGATCAAACTTTAGAGATTTCAGCATCTTGCTCTGCATATGTGTGCAGACACGTTTAATATTCTGTTAGAAACTATAAACAACGGATGGACAAGAAAGTCATACTGGTGTCTGGAGCTAATATGCTTCCCTCTCTTCCAGATGCTGGCCAAGAAGAGCTGAAAGAAAACAGCCTAGAACCTAAGACAATTCTAATGTAAAATTTTTGCCCCAGGATGGAAGGGGACTCTTACCACAATGCAACCACCGTCAATGGCACCCCAGTAAATCACCAGCCTTTGGAACGCCACAGCTTGTGGGAAGTCATCACCATTGCGGCTGTGACTGCTGTGGTAAGCCTGATCACCATTGTGGGCAATGTCTTGGTCATGATCTCCTTCAAAGTCAACAGCCAGCTCAAGACAGTGAACAACTATTACCTGCTCAGCTTAGCCTGTGCAGATCTCATCATTGGGATCTTCTCCATGAACCTCTACACCACCTACATCCTCATGGGACGCTGGGCTCTCGGGAGTCTGGCTTGTGACCTTTGGCTTGCACTGGACTATGTGGCCAGCAATGCTTCTGTCATGAACCTTCTGGTGATCAGTTTTGACCGTTACTTTTCTATCACAAGACCCTTGACGTATCGGGCCAAGCGTACTCCAAAAAGGGCTGGCGTTATGATTGGCTTGGCCTGGCTGATCTCCTTCATCCTCTGGGCTCCAGCAATTCTCTGCTGGCAGTACCTGGTTGGGAAGCGGACAGTTCCACCAGATGAGTGCCAGATCCAGTTTCTCTCTGAGCCCACCATCACTTTTGGCACTGCCATTGCTGCCTTCTACATCCCTGTTTCTGTCATGACCATCCTCTACTGCCGAATCTACCGGGAAACAGAAAAGCGAACCAAGGACCTGGCTGACCTCCAGGGTTCTGTCTCTGTGACCAAAGCCGAGAAGAGAAAGCCAGCTCATAGGGCTTTGTTCAGATCGTGCTTTCGCTGTCCTCGACCCACCCTGGTCCAGAGGGAAAGGAACCAGGCCTCCTGGTCATCCTCCCACAGGAGCACCTCCATCACTGGGAAGCCAGCCCAAGCCACTGGCCCAAGCACCAACTGGGCCAAAGCCGAGAAGCTCACCACCTGTAGCAGCTATCCTTCCTCAGAGGATGAGGATAAGCCTGCCACTGACCCTGTCCTCCAAATGGTCTACAAGAGTCAGGGCAAGGAAAGCGCAGGGGAAGAATTCAGTGCCGAAGAGGCTGAGGAAACTTTTGTGAATGGTCAAACTGATAAAAATGACTGTGACTCCCCAAACTACTTTCTGTCTCCAGCAGCTGCTCATAGACCCAAGAGTCAGAAATGTATGGCCTATAAGTTCCAATTGGTTGTAAAAGCTGATGGGACCCAGGAGACCAACAATGGCTGTCACAAAGTGAAAATCATGCCCTGCTCCTTCCCAGTGGCCAAGGAACCTTCAACGAAAGGCCTCAGTCCCAATCTCAGCCACCAAATGACCAAACGAAAGAGAATGGTCCTAGTCAAAGAGAGGAAAGCAGCCCAGACACTGAGTGCCATTCTCCTGGCCTTCATCATCACATGGACCCCTTATAACATCATGGTCCTGGTTTCTACCTTCTGTGACAAATGTGTCCCAGTTACCCTGTGGCACTTGGGCTACTGGTTGTGCTATGTCAATAGCACTGTCAACCCCATCTGCTATGCCCTCTGTAACAGAACCTTCAGGAAGACCTTTAAGATGCTGCTTCTCTGCCGATGGAAGAAGAAAAAAGTGGAAGAGAAGCTGTACTGGCAGGGGAACAGCAAGCTACCCTGAAAAGTTAACAATTTATCTCAAAAGAAGAATGACCACAGTCAACATCCTCTGAGAATGAGCAAGCTGATTCTGGTTTGTATATTTTCAAAAAGAAGACATCTCATTTTGAGTCCTTCAGGATTTTTGTAAAGGCTCAAGGTCTGTTGCTAAAAGGAAGGGATCACAGCTGCAGCAATTGCTGTCATATTAAATGACTCTTGCCTATGACCAAGGCCACCTGATGCCACTGGAGTTTGCCACTGAAGTAAAGGGATAGGCTGATGGCCCTTCACAGGGGAAAGCACACTTGGTAACAATGAACAGTGACTCAGGGAACTTTTGTCCCTTCTGTGGGGAAAAGTAGGGACCAGGTGGAAACCTTTTCCTGTGGAAACCTATCATAGAACTTTGTGCAATATGTATGTGTCTATGAAGCTGTCTTGTGCCAGTGAGAACCAGGAGAATGTACATCAGTGTCACTTGTTAACAAGACTGATATTCAACTGGCTTCTAAGAATATCTTCTTAAACTGATCACTATCTATTATGCAGCTATTATGTGGTCTATACTGTGTTTTGTTTTCCTGTCCCTACATCTGAGTGAAGGTCTTGCTCTTCCCTTTCATATCCAATGTTAATTCCTCATACTTACTGAACTCATGGTGATCTCCAGGGAACCATCCTTTCCCTCAGAATCCAGGATCTGGAAGGACTGAAACCTGGTCATACCCAGTGCTTTAAAGGGGACTCTATTCTGCTAATACAGATGGATCAAGTCTCCACAGTCAGTTATTTTAGGTTTTGCTGGTGGAAATTTTTTCTTTAATCCAAACAAATATTGTACATTCTATTTTGTGCCCATTTGAACCCATTTATTTATGTATGCTCTGTTCTTAGGAAGACTAATTGTATAAGAGCCCTTCACTGGCTGAAGATTTTCTCCAGGGCTATGGAATTAAGATTCTTCCATTGTTTTCAGAGATTTTGCTTTCTAATCTCTTCACAGGACAAACCTGAGCAAAATGTGGAAAACAAATTTGCTTTTGAACTTCTTCCAGAGCCATTTTGCAGCCTCCAATTTCCCTTGTTCAGATCCCCAATTCATACCAATATACAAGCAGGTCACTGTGCTGCCTCCAAGCAGAGGGTTGCGTGGTGGGATGGGAATGGAAAGACTTTCTTTTTTATAGGTCCTTCAATTCAGGGCCTAAAAATGACTTATTCATTTCTTTCCAAATTCAGTCAAAAATGAGAAGGCCAGAAAAGCACACTTGAGGGGGCAATGAAGATAAAAATAATCTGAAAGCTTCATTTTTAAAAATAAAGTGTAGGTCATAGTAATGCATAAAAATAAAAGTTAACATGCATTAGAGCATGAGGTTTATTATATTTATATTGAAATCTCTAAGTGTACATAAACTGAATCAAAGGACCTTTGTGGACAAAAGTCCACAAAGAAGCAGTCGTGTGGTACACAAAATGGATTTTAAAGATGAAGCCCTCCTGTCAGACATTATTTAACCTGTTGGTTACATCTGCAGCTGGATTTAAAGATTGCCAGATTTCATGCATCTCAGTGTAGGCCAGGTCCTTTTCAGTCTCATTTGCTAAGAGGATGGAAAAATAGCTGATTTAGTTGTCCTGGGAATTAGATCTGTACCTGACTATGGGAGAGCTTACCACTGAAGAGCATAATCAGCCTCCCACAGATGTCTCAAAGAGGCTTCAGGGTAATAGAATCTCGGGCAGGACAGGACTGGTTCCCCTACAAGGACTTGACATTGACATGAAACATCTTGGAAGCAGTATATCTGCTGAGACTTTGTAAAGGGCAGGTTAACACTTGCCAAGAATTTGGTGGGAATAGTAATTGGCTCAGTAATCCAGCACAGAGGCTTTCAGGCCTATGTGATGCCAACTGGGTGTGACTTCATAAGCAAACTTGCTCCACCCGCTCCAAATAAATAGTTGAGTCTTTTCATTTAAGGCTTTGATTCCTGACAAAGATGAAAATCCCTTTATGAAAATAGGCTTCTAAGCCCATGTTGGGCATTCACCATTCACAGTTGAGAGTGAAACAAGTTAATTTAAACAAAAGAACACAAACCAGGAAAGGATGCCACTAAGGGCACTCTGCACATTCCACTCTTGCTTAGGACTTGGCTTTTTTTGTTAATGTTTTGTGAAATTGATTAAGAAGCCTATTGCTGGGTGTGGTGGCTCACACCTGTAGTCACAGCACTTTGGGAGGCTGAGGCAGGAGGACTGCTTGAGCCTAGGGGCTCAAGACCAGCCTGGGCAACATAGCGAGACCCTATCTCTACAAAAAAAAAATTAGATAGCTGGGCATTAGCAGGACATGGTGGTATGTGCCTGCAGACCCTGCTACTTCAGAGGTTGAAGCAAGAGGATTGCATGAGCCCAGGAGTTAAAGGTTGCAGTGAGCTATGATCATATGATCATACCACTGCACTCCAGTCTGACAGAGCAAGACCCTGCCTCAAAAAAAAAAAAAGAGAGAGAGGTTGATGCTTCCTTCTTGGCTTTGGAAAGCAGCCAGTTTTGCAAACTACCTATGCCCCTTGACATAGACAAAAAATATCCCAACCTACTAGAGACAACTAAACTTCTGTAGAATAGGGGCTTCAATGGGGTCCTCAGAATGAACAGACCCAGTTGTAAACTACAGGGATCTGGTGGGTGGGGGAGAGGTGCATGGCCTGACTTGAGATCTTAGGCCATCTGTGCCCCCCGTCTTCCAGGCTTTGTCTATGGTAAACTATGTACAACTTTGGCTAGTTACCTACTGGATGCTGTTACATTGCTATCATTGTAATTTGTTTCTCCATGGCTCTGAATTTGATGGCTTGTCAGGGAATCTGTTTTCCATTCAATTTTTGGTTAAACAAAGCATTTTGTCAATATACCTGGCCTTTGCTTTGCTCCTTTGGTGAATGTTCTTTGAAGACAATGCTGATGCCAGCTCTTTGTAATTGTGAAATCTGTACCCAAACCTCTGGATTAGTATCTCTAGTTGTCTACTGTAAATGCTGCAATTACAGCAAAAGATATGGGGACTGGGCTGCTTTTCTGTATTGTACTAGCACTATTCAAGATATTAAAGAAATTTATCCACAGAGCAGTCCAATGCAGAGCGTTTAAATAAGAAAATGGCTTCAGTGTAGCTTGTTAGATCCATCTATATTGTAGTTCCCACACACATTTGCATGGCCTGGCCTTTCAAGAAGGTTGGAATTGATACACAATATGGGGACATGTCCTTCTTTCTACCTTTTCTGATTCCCCTCTTCCTCTAAGGAACCAATGACCAAACTAAAATTAAATAATAATAACAAGAGATCTGTGAGTAAAATGCTTCCCCTTCCCTCTGGGACAAGGGAGGTGGGGCAGACCGCAAACCACCGTCCTTTACCAGGTAGAGACCACACCAAAAGGAGCAGCAGCATTTCGTCTTAAACTACTTAAAGAGTTGGTGTCCCAGTCACTTCATTCCCATTTAAGTGATACTAATTTCCATCTCCCCCAGGTCATTTTACTGGTAAAGTTCTAGTTTATGTAAAGTCTGTTTTTTTGTGTGTGTTTTTTTTTTGAGATGGAGTCTTCCTCTGTTGCCCAGGCTGGAGTGCAGTGGTACAATCTCATCTCACTACAACCTTTGCCTCCCAGGTTCAAGCGATTCTCCTGCCTCAGCCTCCTGAGTAGCTGGGATTACAGGTGCCCGCCACAACGCTGGCTAATTTTTTGTATGTTTAGTAGAGACGAGGTTTCACCATGTTGCCCAGGCTGGCTTTGAACTCCTGACCTGAAGTGATCCACCTGCCTCAGCCTCCCAAAGTACTGGAATTACAGACGTGAGCCACCGTACCATACCAATTAGGTAAACCCTTGTCCAATAAGGACCCCAGATTGAGAGACAAGAAGAAGGGAAATAAGGCTGTCAAAGAAGCTAGAAGCAATTAAAAACAAAACTTTTTTGAAATAATTTAAAATTTACAGAAAAGCTGCAAGAGTAATATGAAAAACTTCTAATGTCTTTCACCCACATTCTGCATTTAACATTTTGTCACATCTGTGCCTGCTCTCTCTGTATGTGTATGTTTGTGGGCACACTTTTTTTTTCTCAACCATTTGAGAGTAAGTTGCAGACATCTTGCCAATTTACCGCTAAATACTTCTCGAGTGTGTAATTCCTTCTTTTTTTTTCAAGACAGGGTTTCACTCTTGTCACCCATGCTGGAGTGGCAGCTTCAACCTCCCAGCCTCAAGTGATCCCCCCTCAGCCTCCCAAGTATCTGGGACTACAGATGCATGCCACCACACCTGGATAATTGTTTCTACTTTTTATAGATAGGGTTTCACCATGTTGTCCAAGCTAGTTTCGAACTCCTGGGCTCAGGTGATCCACCCGCTTTGGTCTCCCAACATGCTGGGATTGCAGGCGTGAACCACCGCACCTGACCTTAGAATGTATATTTCTTTTTTTTTTTTGAGACGGAGTTTCGCTCTTGTTACCCAGGCTGGAGTGCAATGGCGTGATCTTGGCTCTCTGCAACCTCCGCCTCCTGGGTTCAGGCAATTCTCCTGCCTCAGCCTCCTGAGTAGCTGGGATTACAGGCATGTGCCACCATGCCCAGCTAATTTTTTGTATTTTTAGTAGAGACGGGGCTTCACCATGTTGACCAGGATGGTCTCGATCTCTTGACCTCGTGATCCACCCGCCTCAGCCTCCCAAAGTGCTGGGATTACAGGCTTGAGCCACCGTGCCCGGCCTAGAATGTATATTTCTTAAGGAGACTTTTTTTGTTTGAGATGGAGTTTTGCTCTTGTTGCTCAGGCTGGAGTGCAATGGCATGATCTTGGCTCACCACAACCTCCGCCTCCTGGGTTCAAGCGATTCTCCTGCCTCAGCCTCCCAAGTAGCTGGGATTATAGGCATGTGCCACCACACCTGGCTAATTTTTTGTATTTTTGGTAGAGATGGAGTTTCTCCATGTTGTTCTGGCTGGTCTTGAACTCCAAACCTCAGGTGATCTGCCCGCCTTGGCCTCCCAAAGTGCTGAAATTACAGGCGTGAGCCACTGCACCGGGCTCAGAAGAAACAGGTAATTTTACATAACCTCAGTACAAATGTAAAAATCAGGAAATTTGACATTGCTACAATGTTATCATGTAATCTACAGTCCACACTCAAAATTTACTAGTTTTTTTCTATTTGGAAAACTAGCAAATGTTCACTGTAAAAATTTATTTTCCAGTTCAATATCTAATCCAGGATCACACATTGAATTTAGTTGTCATGTCATGTTTAGACTTCTTTAATCTGCCTAAAGCTTTTCTGTCTTTCACGATATGGTCATTTTTTAGGAGCATCTACAATCCTATTTTTAAAAATAATTTTGGCTGGGCTCAGTGGCTCACACCTGTAATCCTAGCACTTTGGGAGGCCGAGGTGGGCAGATCACAAGGTCAGGAGTTCAAATCCATCCTGGCCAACATGTGATACCCCATCTCTACAAAAAATACAACAGGTACCTGTAATCCCAGCTACTTGGGTGGCTGAGGCAGGAGAATTGCTTGAATCCGGGAGGTAGAGGTTACAGTGAGCCAAGATGGCACCACTGCACTCCAGCCTGGGTGACAGAGCAAGACTCTGTCTCAAAAAATTAAAAAAATAAAAACAATTTTATCAGTTTGGGGCTATCTGCTATTTTCTCATTAGATTGAATTTAACTGTTTTTGGGGGGCCAAGAATATCACAAATGTGTTA